TAGCGACAGCGGAAGCAGCCGCCATTAGGCTACGAAAGCCAATCTAATGCGCGCAGAAGAACCACGTTCAGGCTCCGCGCCTACAGTGGTCGAAGGTCGACTAACGCTGCTACACTTCGCGCCCTTCCGCTCTCACCCGCCCCTGACAATGACTGCTATTACCCATCCCACCCTCCCCCCCCCCACATTCCCACACCCCGCCCGTGTTTTAAGTAGAACTTTTATCGATTTTTCTTATCGCTGACGTGTTTTTCTTCTACCCCGTTCTCATATAACTGTACTGGCCCGACGAGAATTTATCGAAAACTACGTATGCTCGCCACCTCGTCTTCTGATTTCTGCTATGGGAATTTTCGCAACTCTAAGACAGTGGTTTGCTGTTCGCCCATTCCTGAGTGGATAAATACCTCATCAGCAGCGACAGAGAATGGCAGGTGGCGAGGCACTGATGAACTTCGGTTCCATGAAATGTTTATGACCCGCCTGGTGTGTCTGTGCGCATGTTTGCGTTTCCGGTACCAGCTGGTGGTCAGGGTTACGATTGGCTGAATGAACGCAAACACGCCCGAAACAGTGCTGTATCAATCTACTGTATCCCAGACTGTGTCGCCTTTCCTCTGCTATCATAGCTTGGCCTACTTCGGCCTGGTAAGTGGTTGCCTGTTCGTGACCCCCATCACCCATACAAAGCTTGTTTGTTTCGGGAAGCCAATGGATCAATGGGCACTCCTTCCTGAGTGAACAGATACCCGATCTGCCAAGCTAATATTCTGGGCATTAAATCTTCCCAAATCGGAACTAGGTGTTTGTGTGTACTAAGTATTGTTTGGCTACTGTAAGGTCAGTGACCGCCCTCGTGTGATGTTAGCTAAAATTCCGAAATGTTTTTTTGATTAAGAATGATTACTTTAGTGAGTTTCGTATGGCATAATTGAATGATATTTCACTCTCCAGGATGTTGACTTTTGAATACGTTTCTTTTTGGCCTCCTGTAGAAACCGCAATATTTAAGTATTGTGCATATTATACTGGTCTTCGATACCGTTTGAATTTTGAAATAGGCTTTATAGAAAACGCGCACAGCATTGCTTTTGTGAAATGTCCATTCATACAGCATCGCACCGGTATGCCTATTAATGCTCCTAGTGAATTTTACAAGATACTCCACATCAACTGCAAAATTTCATGAGCCCTCTATGAGGTTCCTTTAACATCATAGAAAACTAATTGATTGTCCTTATGTGGAAAGTATACAGCATGGAGTTGTGGAAACCTAAACGCAAGTACATTTGCAAGCTGGGTTCAAAATTATTCTGGCGGTAAAAGATTCTTAAACCTTAGCAGTCCTCCTTCTTCAAATGCAAAATTTATATGCGAAATGATTTGCTACGAAACGGGTACCATAAAAATATGTCTGTGAAAGTTTTCTGTAAATTACATCTAAAGTTATACGGGCACCGAAAATCGGTGGGTAGACGCATACTAATTAAGTAGTCATTTATTATGGAGTACGGTTTTTTAGCCAGCCGAAAGACAATACACTCGAATGCCAACATCCTAGCGTGGCTAAAATATTTTCGATTTTTGGCTCACGATGATTAATATTGCAAGCCGACTTAAGTAATTCTTTCTAACGTAAACTGCATTTCAGAATTTCGGTTGACATTTCACTTTCAACTTTCAGGTCATCTATGTGTAAGATAAACATTTACTGCCAAGGTTATTGAGGTCAAGCACCGTATGAAGATCAGGAAGTGCAGTTGGACCTGGCTAAAACTTTAGAAACACCGCACAAAAAGTTAGAATCTGATACATACAACGAGTTCACACCTGTTGTACAGCGTTTTAGGTATAACTGAAAAATATTGAACAGGAGTTCGCTAGTCTTAGCATTGCTCGAATCACCATGAGTCCCAAAATACAGTTTCTATTAGTCGTCATATCAGAGCGTTTTGTTAAAGATAACTAGGGGTTTTTTTAAAAAATGAAGAATCGATACCTGCAGCCAATAATTTATTCATCCGGACTTTCGGATCTGATCTTGTCTCCATCATCTGGCGTACAAGGAAATCAACAAAAGGAACACACTTACATGTGAATCAGCCAATCAGATTGACCTCTTATCATTTTGTTTGGCTGTATCGATCCTCGTGACAGTCGCCAATCCTCTGATTGGATGCGGCCCTCAGCCTCACCGCGTGACGCAAGTTGGGTTCACCCGTTTACCGATGCTCGCCTCGATTACCATGCCACTGGCATCTCACGTGTAGTCTGGCTAGTAGCTCGTCCGTCTGTCGACCTGGTGGCAAAATTTAAGATTCGTCTGTCTTCCAGACAGTGGGTAACCACGGCTGGTAATGGGTCCCTCCTCGGGCTTCACGTCAACGCACGTCTAGACGACAAAGTCGTGAAGAACTTCGGAAGCCAGGTTGCGAGAGTATCGCTCACTGACTAACATGCCCGTTTAAACAAGTGTGAAGCAGTCAGTGGAGAGCGCGTGTCGGGAACAAACTAAATAGTTGGTGAACACGTGGCTGCTTGTCTGATGAGACAATAGCCAGACAAGCAAGTGGGGCGTTACAAGTGGAAACAAAGTTTTCATGACTGAAACCACTTAAAAAGATTCGCTAACTTTGCTGTCCAATTTGTCGCTCAGGCAGCTCAGAAAACAATGACTTCAGGCTCTCGACTATGTAGCGCGCGCTTCAGCGCCGGAGACGTTAAACCACGAGACTTTGTAGCGTTTTGAGTCGGCGACCGGTCCCATGAAGCGTTACCTGAAGTTTTGAAGTGTTTTTTATGGGGAGGTATTACTCAACTGGGGTTGTAACATTAATTATCCTGCAACGCTGGCCCAAGGTGTTTCAGTCATGCACGCATACCGGCTTTTGAACGAACTTATTTTCGCCGCCATCGAAAACCGTATTCAATGGGAAGACTACTTATGTATTGTGGATTTTGCTTATCGATTTTCGATGCCCTTAGCAGTTCAAATATATTCTATAGAAAACATGGTCGAAATGTGCTTCCTTTTACTCATCTGACAGTAAATTACGTCTTCTTCAAATTTTATACTTGAAGAAAAGTTATATTCAAGTTTCCAAAGAGTATTAAATTTCCCGAATAACTTTGAGCCAAATCCGCCGTTCGATTTGCGATTGGGTGCGCAATCTAGAAACCCGATACCTTCACTAGATAGCCCGACCGACGTTGACAACAATGTTCACCGTGTGCTTCACAACAAAATGAAGCAGGGAAGGTGATCTGCGCGTGTTTTAATTGATAGTGAATGCAGACTTCCACAGCGTCTTCAGCGCTCTCTCTTTCACCTCCATCTGGACCCGG